TGGAAAAAGTCACTCACGTAAGAAATTATGCAAAGAAAGGTTTCTGGTTGGGGTAGCTGGTGGCTCAGAAGAGCACTGAGAATATCCTGGGTGTGGATGTGAAGTCGCCTACCTGGGTCCCTCGCCAGCCAGAGAGGCCCCAGGGCAGTAAAACCTTTAGCCCCCTGATGGGCAGGCTGGCTGGGGGGCAACTGCTCCAGACACAGGCTCCCTCACCCCAGCGGCTCCCTCACCCCAGCTGGAGAAGCGAGGATAGCGTAGGGGCGGGGGGCTGGGGCTCCAGAGGCAGGGGCAGCTCCACAAATAGCCGCCGAGAAACAGCCCCGGAGTGAGACGTGCCCTCGCTCGGAGTAAACAAACTTGGGAGAGAGGGGCCTTTGTACCCGGCTGCGGCCAAGGAAGTTCACTTTTGTGTAAAAGGCAACACAACAGGGGAGTCATGCTCCCACCAGGGCGGGCTGTGCCAGGCACAAAAGCCTCCTTTAGGCTGGGCCCGGCCCAGGAGCACTTTCTGTGAAATTCTGGAGAAGCCAGGTTTAAGCCAGAGGTTCTTCCAGGAATTATGAACCTCTGGAGACTGGAACCACTGTTCCTCCCGAGCCACCCCTGCCAAAGTCTATAAACTACAAGCCTGAAAAACCTGCCTGAAGAGCAGCCTGACATTTTATATATATTTATAAAAAGTAAAAAATAAACGATCGGCACACTTTTCAGGAGAACCCAATTAGAGCTGAGGGGGGCGGCCCCCTCCCGTGCCCCCGGGGTGCTGGGGAGAGGCCACATTTCCCTGGGGCGGGGGTCTGTGCTGGGGCTGGGGGCTCAGGGGCTTTTATCCCACTTGCTCACATTGTCTCTGGGCCTTTTTGTCTCCTCGGAGGGGCTCTGAAAGGAGCTGCCTGTCTCGGGGGGAGGTTAAGCTCTTGTCTCAGGAGGGGATGGGACGGACAAGGCTGCTGTTGATTTTTGCTGAGGATGGCGAGCTGGTTACTGTGCGGGGTGATTTATTTGTGCCGTTTCCTCTTGGAGCCCCTGGGAGGTTAGGGCTACTGTTTTTAATATCAGGAAACTGAGGCACAGAACATCTCGAGGACTTAAAAAGACGCACAGTTCTACGTCTAGTCCGTAGCTGCGTCTGCGTACGAGATGGCCGGTCTCTCGGGGTGCCTCATATTAACCCCCCAACCCCAGGGGAAGAAAAGGAACCAAAACCTTGAACGTCGGGTGCCTTTTGTTCCGCCCGAGGGCAGGTCAATCCTGTACCCCAAGGGTGATGTTGACTTGGCATCCTAGCCTTGTACCCCAAAGCCTGTGTTCCTTCTGGGACATTCCAGTGCGGCCTCTCCCCAGAGCTGCTACATCACCCCAGCTGGTAGCCCTGTTGTCACAAGCTAGGACTTTCCTCTTTCTCATATTCTGGGACCAGCCCCATTTCCCCCCGGCGAGCAGCAGACCCCAAAAGACGCGACCACCATTTTCAGGCTGTAATTATGCCCCCAAAACATGTCACTGGCTCTCACAACCGTGAAATGCTGCTCCCCCCGACCTGTGGACCCCAGACTCTGGGTTCTGGGGTACAGCACACAGGGCGGGCGGCGGGCATGGGAGGAACGCGGCGTGTGCACCGGAACGGCAGGACAGGGCAGTGCGGGGCAGCGGGGGTGCCAGCCTGGCCCCCAGGCGTGTGTTTGCAGGTCGACGGTATTGTGAGCACTCACCCGTGCCGCGGAGCACACGGCTCCGACCTCTGACACTGCCATCGGCCGGGGAAGAATAGGAGGCGGTTTTCATTTCGGGGACGTCAGATCCAGGCAAGACAGGAGCTGGGGGCCTTGGACACGGACAAAGGAGAGGGGCTCATTAGCATGTGGCCAGTTTGCTGAATTCTAGAAAAATGCAAAACACTGTCTGGGACTAGGAAGACGTGTCCATGAGGCGTCACAACCCTGGGGACCCAGCTTTGCTGGACTTCTGAACGTGGCGTTGGGGGCGCGTGTGTATTTGGTCTGGAAGGCCGAGGGGAAAGGCACACGGGGCAGGTAGCAGGTCTTGGCTGCAGTGTGCCCAGCAGCGGGGCGGGGAGGGGCCGAGGCCGGGGGCCTCCGGCCAGCCTCTGAGGGTCTTACGTGCCCGGATAAGGCTCCTGGACCACGTCCCAGAAGCTCCAGGAAGTCAGATGGAGGATTTAAAGCAAGATCGTGACAAGGTCAAAACGGCATTTTAGAAAAAGCTCGCTCAGTGAAAATAAACTTTGCAGAATGTTGAAGGCGGCTCCCTACCTCCGAGAACTCGGGGTGAAGGACCCGTGTTTACAGATGGAGCCACCGCAGCGCGCACTGCGGGGTCATTAGCAGCAGCGCAAACACGGCGGCTGAGCAGAGCGCGCTAATTAAAGGCCGGCGCGGGACCGCCCGCCCGTCCCGCTGTGTCTGCAGCACTGCACCGTAGGCACCCACGCTGTTTACTTTCTCGTGCGATGTAAACAAGCACCCAGGAACCTGTCGGCCACCCCGACAGGACCTTGAGCAAAGCTTCTAATGAGCGAGCGCACACACACACGAACACACAAATGCACACATGTACACACACACGCACACCCCGGCACGCACACGGCTGGGGTTTTTGACAGCAGAGGTTCTGATCGGCAGTGGTGCCTACATCCCACGGAATATTAAACGGCTCTTAAAAAGAAACAGCCGAGACCTATTGTCTTCTAATGGACCTGAGTGTGTTGTGCAGAACTGGATTGATCATGATCTTTTGTTCACAAACACTTTCTCACCGTGGGTCCAGGCATGTCCCTGTTTTATGCTAATGTGAGCATTCATACGCTCATCTGTGATAACGCCATGAACACTCGGGAGCCCACTCCCCAAATCCAGACGTCAGCAATTACTCACACCTGCCTCTAACCCCCATCCCGCGGGGTGAGGGCAGGGGGCTTTCGTGGCAGCGGGGGCCGCTAAATACACTGCGGTGTGCGTAGCCGACAGGTGCCACCGTGCTGTTATAAGGAGTGGCATCGATCTTTATGATCTCAAGCCGATTCCCTAGTGAAGAAAAACTCGCTTTGCAGAAAGGAATCGTACACTATGATATAGTTAATGGAAAATAAAGAAAAGCGTGCACTTCAGAGGTCTATTTGTATCCATAGGCAAATGCAGAGAGAAATATCTGCAACATTAACCCTGAAGACCGCATCTGCAGTTAGCACACGTAGGGGTGGGGGAGCTGCGAGGGAGGGAGGGGCTGAAGCTGGCTTGGGCTTTTAATAGCCGTGTTTGATTTTTAGTGATGAGTGTATTAATTATCAATGCATTTCTCGCATAATTGAAGTACACATTTTTTTGTGAGTGGGAGTATTTTTTTAGCAAATACAAAAGGAAGGACATTTTGACTGATGGAATATGAGTGGACACATCCCCAACAAGATGTGCAGACACAGGGGGGTTATTTTATCTCAAAGACCATTCTTTTTTTTAAATTTTATATGTTTGAAAGCTGGAGCCGGGGGGCCTCCAAGTGGCGTTTCAGTGAGGAGGCCAGCAGGTGTGTACCCGCCGGCCCCCAACCCCTCAGGCTGCCCAGTAGGTGTCTGCAGCATGTCCATTGAGGAATACCTTTTCCTTTTCCTTATTCTGGGCAAGGCTGCTCCAGGTGACTACTCTGAAGTCTCTGTGATAGTTTTTCAGGTACAGAGCATATTTATGATAAATTTAAATAAAATACAGTACCCAGATTGAAGTTAGCTGCACCGTGAGGACGATCACTCCTCCTGTGTAAACCCAGGCAATGTCAATCAAGTTAGGGAGCTGACGCAAGGGAAGGCCCCAGGGACCCAGGGCTGACCCTCCTTGGCCCTTTTAAGGGACAGTTACGGGAAAGAGCCACCTGAAATAGCCATTTTTTACATGTTGAGCACCTACTGAGTGCTAAGCATTTTACGTTATTTCATTTAAAGCATCAAGGCAATGCTTGAAGAAGGCTGTCTCCTCCTACAGGGGAAGGAGGGGCACTTAGAGCTACTGGTCCCAAGTCACCCACCTCCTCCCAGGGGGTCATGCCCCCTGCCCCTGAGCCCCCAATCATAGACGTCCCAGTGGTCAGCACCCTTTTGTATCACAGTGAGAGATTTTAACACCTCCCTTGATTACATATGGTAGACAGACTAGTGGAACTGCCTGATTCTGGATTTTTAATTATATTGCTGAATTAAGGCTGTAGAACTCCCACCCCTCAAGGACCCTCCCTCCCCAGAAAGGCTGTCATTGTACAGAGCAGGCGCACCTACTTGGTCTGCTGCGAGGTCAGCTTGGGAGGGCCACACACCTCTCCGGGCAGGTGTGCCATCCTAGGAGCTCAGGCATGGCCGGACCCTGGCCTCAGGAACCCAACGACTCACTGCCCTCCAGGGGGCAGCGAGCCCCAGCTGTGGAACCAAGGGCTCGAGTTAGTTCCATTCTGAGGGTTGACACATTTACAAATTATTCAAATATATAAATCAGGGGGAAAAAGATCATTTTCAGACCTTAGATTCCATCTTGGGCCAGGCATCTGCTCCCTTCCTGGGAGAAAGCAGCCACCTCTCCTCTGGCCACCTGGGAGGGAAGAGAAACTGCTCGTGGTCCCGCCCGCGTGCAGCCCACCTGTCCCAGCTGCCACCACCTCAGGCCCCACTGCTACCAGCAGCCCTACTGTGTGCTGAGGGAGTGTGGACAAAACACTATTGGGTCCCCCTGGATGTGGGTGGGGCTCCCAGGTGAGGGCAGGGCCACCAGCCTGGAAGATGCTACTTACAAGGCAGTTTCACTCAGGGTGGCACAAGAGGCTGGGCCCGACTCACATCAACTCTAAACAAAGTACATTTGCTGAGAGCAAAATGGGGGTCCAGCAAGAATGGGGGCTGGACATGAATGCCAGTGTGGCCCTCGGTGTGGTGGGCATGCGGCCTGGGTAGGTGCCAGTTAGACACTGAGTGGCTTGAGGTGTGTCCTGGGCTTCAGATTTCTCTCTAGAAAATGGGGAAAACAAAACTAACACCTTCACAGTGGTTATAAAAATTAAGAGAATTAAACCGTGCCTGGCATGTGCTAAGTATTCAAGCGATACCAGAGAAGGACCCAGATGCAGCCATGTGGCGAAAGGGGGTTTGTGATGTAGTCACATGAGGAAAGCTCGGGTACTGGGATGCTCTTGTGGAAAATGTGTGCTTGTCCCAGAGCCTGGGCATGTGTATTAAAGAGATTGATTTATCCAATAACTTTTCAGAAAGAAGCGCGGTTCCAGTCCACGGGACGGGAGCCAATCCACTGACTGACTGACTACTTGCATCAAAGGTAAGGTTTGGGAGGGGTCCATGCTGACCTCCCCGTGGGGCTTGGGGGGCTGGGGGGACCTGGGCACATGATGAGGTGGGCCAATGATCGGGAAGAAAGGTGAAAAGGTGCTTCTGGTACTTAATACCTCTGTTCAAATACCTGAGCAGCTATAATTAGCAGGTCCTGGGCCAGCTGTCCCAGCCCTCACCGACAACCATATCAGCCCAACTGAGTTGGGAGTGACCATGGGCTTTTTGGGGAGACACTGAGGCCCCCACTCCTTTGGTCTGGCCTCCCATTGGGCCACAAGGGTGACTGTGTGGACCATGGAAAGAAATGAGCCTCTCTGGCCCTGAGGGTCCCTCGAGGTCCCCCTGTGGCCACTGCCTACCCCACACGGTGGGTCTGATCCTCTCCTCTCCATCCACACCTGGCTTTGCACACTGCCCCTGCCTCTTCACTCCTGAACTGGGCCTCAAAGCCCCTCAGTTTAATTCTGGGAAACGGGGAACCCACCACCTCATAAGGAGAACAGTCAGTGACAGGGGCTGAGCAGCCAGGGTCCTGCCTGACCCTGAGCAGATGCCCAAGAAACATCAGTTGTAACGAAAAGAATCTAATTACCTGTCTTGATGACACGTGCCTCCTGCAACTACAGACCCCGAGCCTCCCCAGCCTCATCAACAGACATTCATCTCCTGGGGTGTTCAATACCCTGAGTGCCAGCGCAGCCTCCAAGGCGCAGCTCCTGGGCAAGTTGCTTCGCCCCGGACTCTGGTTCACTCATTGTGAAGACAGGGCATGTTCCCCTCATGGGGCGAGTGACATAATTAAGTCAACACCAGGTGTGAAAATGCTGACTGCACCCCGACCACCACAGTTACAGCGATGTGCGGACAGTGTAACATAGGAGCCCTAAGGAAGAAACAGGCCCTTACTGTTCCCATCTCCCCTGGGAAGACATGCTCCTTCCATTTGTAAAAGGGGACCCTGAGGCTCGCTTCTGCTCCCGCTCAGGTCCTCCTGCCACGGGTACCACGCTCCTGGCCCATCCACACAGCAACTGACCATTTGAGACACAACCAGATCCCACTGAGACTCCAGCCTGGCTGTCAAATGTGAACAAACACTAGAAACCACTAGCCTGGGCTCCCAACAGTGCCTTAGATGTAGGGACCTCAAATTAAATGCAATAGAAGGACCCCCAATTTGTAAGAGCAGCTGATAGGGTAGAAGCAAGGTGGGGAATCCCAGAGTTCTACCTACTCTTCCAAAACCCTCCCTTCACCAAAACTCCCCAGGGTTACCCCTCGAACACCTCTCAGGACCCCAGAGTGACAGGAACAAAGTGAAGAGACCACTACCCAAACCTCCTTGCAGGTCTGGGGAAACTGAGGGCCCAGGAGGGGAGGGGGGGTCCCAGTGGGCAGCTGGATAGCTCCTTCCCCTGCTCTCTTGCCTTGAAAGGAAAGAGCAGCGTCCAGAGCAGCTGATTGGCCCGGCCGATTTGGGCAGCTCAGGACACTCTGGTCTGTGACCCCCTCCCAGCCCCTCCCTCGGACGGCACTCTCCCCCACCCAGGGTTATTCTGGGCAGAGTGATCCAGCTGCCCCCTGGAACTGCCAGTCAAGGGGTGGGGGAGGGGGCAGGGACTTGGTTGCAGGAACATTGCCAGGTTAGGGGCCCTACTGGCCTTCACCTCGATAGCCGGGGG